TTCTTTCCAATGCCAAAAATCGTCTGAAGAAATACGATCAAACACGCCAACACGAACTGTTTGCGCAGACGATATTTGCGGTGGCGAGAAACTTTCGCTGAAACCCGATATTTAATCATAGATGTCGACTGCTTATTTCACTCATTAATTTCACACCCAATGAATTCATTTTGTTCTGGTTTGCGTTTTTTGGCCAAAGAGATTTGTGATTTGTTTCATAATGCCTGTTTTACAAACGATTTTCTAAATACCACTGTTCCAAAATACGGAACGCATACCGCTTTATCGCCTTTATTAATCATGCCATATTTCTCATTTCATAAAGTTTGAACTTCTCTAGTACACTTATCTTGCAATTTTTTTTGTTATGTTGAATAATACGTAGTTACGTTCAATAACACTTAAAGTTGTAAACATAACTCTCACAAACTTAAGCAAGCATTTGTGTTAATAAAGTTAGTTTAAAAACTATGCCTGATTACAGCCGACGTAACCACGCGCCAAACAAAAACCGGCAAGTGAATGGCCAGCTTCGCAGCGCTCCCACAGCCCAGAGCCTCCGTCCGCTCATGCGCCCTACGGTTCGGACAAAAGAGCAAGGCTAGCCCTTTACCACCGAAATAACGGTGGTAACCGACATAGTGGTGGAATTTCGCTGGTAACTGCTAATCACGATTGTTCCTCGCAAGGAAAACAATTTTGAAAGTGGTCAGGTGTTGATAACTTTGCTGATAATAAGTACCTAAATTCCTCAAATAATGCCACGCCCAAATACTTTGTCCCATGTCGTTGTTTCGGCAAATTAAAGCAGTGAAAAAAATTAGTACAAAAATTACCTGATACATAAGAAGATGCGAGAAACATAAACGCAAACGGATTGTACATCTCTTGGCATATCTTCCTTAGGGATTTGGATCTTAGTGTAACGAGAATTTGTGCTTGTTTAAATTTAATAAATTTTTTTAAATTTTTTATTTAGGTGTTTTAAGTTGATAGCTTTTCAAAAAAAAAATGTAAGTTTTAAAATATTCTCCCTACAAGTCGCTAGAAATTTCGATCATCATATTTCAATACAAATATCCATTTTGTTACTTCCCAAATCCATTTGAACCATTTCTTTTGCCTGAAGACAGTACGTACGGACAGAATAAAGGATAGTTTTTTTTTGCAAAACGGATCATAAAATTGATTTAAAGTGGGTTCAGAAAGGACTTTTTTCTTGATGTTTGTACGTACGAATGTGTGCATGCATGTACGGACGTATGTGCATAACTCAAAAATGAATATTATTAGTCGTAGAACTTTGAAATTTTGTATATGAGAGTGCTATAACATTTAATTGTGTATCTCCTTTTTTATTGCAATCGGCAATATACATATACATGTATCCCCCCCTTACCCGGCCTTTATTTTCGCAATCGGTAGTCGTAGTCATATACTTCCAATCATAGAAGTGTTTTAAGTGACGAAAATAGTGACGAAGATGAATTGTTTTAGCTTTAAAAAAAATTCGACAAATAACGAAATCTAATTTTTAATGCTCTCTTCCAATTCCTATACTCATATTTGGGAAAATTTTATACTCATTATGAAAAGAATATGAAGTTAGAAGGAATTTGACTCCCGTACGACAAAAACTGGCTGGAATATTTAATTTCAAAATTTGCAGTTTTTGACATCAATTTCGACTTTGCCTTGAGAGATTGGTTAGTTTTGTTCACTTAAACTTCGAAGAACTTCCAACTGCAGATAAATAATTCGCCCATGCGAAGTCCTTTTAGGCCATCTGAGCCATTAGTCCACATAACTGTCCTTAAATAATTATTTATTCTATGTACCTTAACTAAGCTTTACTGCTTTAAAACTAGACTTTACTGTTAGAAAATAAAGACTAATTTCATTTGCATATTAGTGCTTCATTGTATCCTATCCAAAGGCATGAAATATGCTATTTTATTTTATTTTATCTTGAACACTCGATAAAAGTTTTAAAGCTTTCTGATTAAACTTTTTTTTCCTTTTTATGCTATTGTTACCTTATTTACTGTAATTTCTTTCGCATGTGCTTACACGATGTACTCGGTCGGATGATAAAAAGTTAAATATCAAAAGTCAGAGCTCTTAGAAAAGGAAAGCATGTATTTGATTTATAAACGAATCGTAGCTCATACATAAATTAATATATGTAATATAAATTATATCTTAAATATTTTTCTTCTAACAAACTTTCTAACAAAAGTTTGGTAATTTCTGTTAATTCAAAGAAGGAAAAATAGTAGTATCAGCTGAGATATTTTAGGAAGTGCCCCCGCACACTTGGCAGTTATTTAATTTCGAAATTTTAGTAATCACTGAATCACTCAGTCTTGCACAGTTTTGTTTTTTAGAAAGAGAAAAACAGCTCCTAAAATGTACGTTTACAAATAACATAAAACATATTTAATTATTATAATAATTGAAGCATATATAGTTCTTTAATTCTTATTTATTTAGCTCTTTAAGGTCTTTTTTGCAAATACTTAGAATTTAAAGGCATTTTCAATCCTCTCATGCACTGTTAAGCGCTTCAAGGTGAAAAGAAGTACTGAAACCTTATATATGTTAGTACACGCAATTATATATGTTAGAATTTGCAAATCATGTCTATTTTCAAGAAATGTATTCAGCCAAATTTACTAATAATTCCGCCAAAAATTATGCAAGTATTTGAAGTTGAAAATATAAGCATACACGTAAGTGTCTGCGGAACTGTTATTGTGGAGGGGATATAAATGCACGGGGTGGTTCCCGCTATTTGTATGCCCGTACTCCTTCACGACATTAGCCATGTTTCTTGCAAGAGTTTAATAAACTTCATAAGGTTTCAACTAAAATGAATAACCAACATAGGGATGAGAATGAACGCATGGAATGAGATGGAGAATTGTAGGTAGACTGGAGGCAGGGCAATAACAAGAGCACGTGACTACGGAGCTCAATGTAACGCTCTGTGTCGTCTGTAATTTGCGGAAACAGCTTCGGGACGCTGGATCCATATTAAGAAAACCTGGACAAGATCGACCAAGATCCTTAACGACGAATGAGGATCGTTATTTGGCATCTTCAGCACAGCGACGCAGGACTGTTACAGCTTCAAAGCTCTTACGTGAGTTATATCCTGTCACAGAAGCTCCAGTTTCACGATCTACAGTTGCCCGAAAGCTTGAAGATCCTCTGTTTGTGTACCACTGACTGAAAAATAAGATGGTATTTTTCGCATAGTGACAACATAGGCCTTGGACAAGACTTGAGTGGGGCACTTGCTTTTTACAGAGAGTGCCTGGAATAGGATACCATCCCATCCTCATCAGGGAAAAGGATGATTACGGTGGTGGAGGTGTAATAGTGTTGGACGGCCATTCATGATGTTGGACGGCCGCACATGCCTACATGTAACAAAGTTTTCCTGATTGCTATAAGTATAGCGAGGAGATCTCAGAGTTTTATGGTTGACTTTTTAGGGGCGCAGTTAGTAAAGGTTTACGCTAATAGACGACAACGCTGGTCCACATAGAGCTCAGCTGGTTGACGATTACGTGGAAAGTGAGGATACGTCAAGAGAAAATTAAAAACAAGACAAAAAATTTCAAATGGTTTTCTCTGATTCTTGATGAGTCGACAGATACTTATATTGTCCAATTGTTGGTGTTTATTTGAGGGGTTAATGCTGAATTTGAGGTTATTGAAGAATTAGTTTCTATGAATATTCTGCGTGGAACAATTACAGGTGCTGAAATCTTGGAAGAAAGTCGAGTAAACGCTAGTCCAATACAATTTGTAATGGAATCAGTTCATATGTATCACAACTTATGGTGGAAAATATCTGTGTGGTACGGAGAAAGTAAACCTCTGGTTCATTGGAGTGGTATGGGGAAAGTAAACATCTGGTAATTTCATTGTATTATTCACCAGCAAGTTCTTTATCGGAAAAATCCCAAACTCTCACGTGTTTCATAACCACTTGTATCAGTAGTAAACTTTATTCGCTCTCGTGGACTTAAGCATCTCCAATTTCGTGAATTTCTATTAGACATCGAAGCTGAATATCCTGACTTGCCTTATCATACAGCTGTTCGATGTCTACCTTTCGAACTGAGAGAAGTCATACACATTTTTGTAAATGAGAAAAAGTGCCCTCACCCTTTATTACAGAACAGCGAATGGCTACAGAAATTAGCATTTGCCACAGATGTAATGGGATATCTCAACGAATTCAATTTAAAATTAGAGGAAAACAGTACTCATGTGTGAAATATGTTCTATCGTAAAAGCATATCGCCCAAAATTTGCATTGTTTGAAATGCACATAACATTAAACAAATTTGACCATTTGTCATGCTTTAAAAAATTTCGAAAATTAACGAAATCCCCATTCCCAAAAACATTCGCACATGACACATTTCCTGAACTCATACTACAATTACAACAGCGTTTTGTGATATTGATGCAAGTGCAAAAGACATTACCATGTTTCAAAATCCATTTGACTGTATAATAGAGCAGCTTCCACCAGATCTTCAACTGGAAGTGATTGATTTTCAAAACGATGGTACGTTAAATATGATGTTTAAAGAAAAAGGTATAATTAAATTTTATATATATCTTTCATAAGATAAATACGCTCAATTCAAATCATATGCGCGGGGTTGGATATTCGTATTTGAGAGTACTTACAGTGCATAAAGATATTTTCGAAAATGATGTATGTAAAATCGCAATTCAGATCATTTATTAAAGATGACCATTTGCAAACAATTTTAATGGCAGGAAGTACTAATTTCAAACTCCAGTATAATGAAATATTCTCGCAAGTAAAAACAGTTACATTCTTCGCATTAGAAATTTTAATTAAACTTTTTTATGTAAATGTAAATCTTTTATGCTTTTTTTGTAAGTATATCATATATTACATATATCGACTATAACAAAATCGTGTCCTTACAATGAAATAAAACACAAAATCAGTTTTCAAATGCTTATATTTCATGAATTAATTTTATACATATTTCTATATTTAATTGAATTAGCAAAATATTTTCACATATAGCTCATAAAATTTGACAGAAACGTATATTCCTGTTGTTGAATGTTGGAGAATACTTTCTCACTTTTCAGATCTTCATAGTGAAACTAATGGAAGCATGTGAAAAAAAGACTTCTAGAATGCATCAGAATACTTTTAAAATTTTCTAATTTAGTACTGGTGGAATATAACAGAATATCTTTAGATCTTGAGCGTGGTGCAGGTGGTAGTTCAGTTATAATTTGTATAAAGCCAAAGCGAATTATTTATACTTGTAGCCTCGTATTGGCGATAACTGAAGCAGAAATTTTCAAATGGTGTAAGACATTCTTCAGATTCTGCATGAAATACTTTTCAGATTTAATGCGATGTGATATTGGTGATAAGTGAATAACTTCTCGTAGAACGTTACAGAAATACTGTTACTTGCAGCGAGATATTAACAATAGCTGAAAAAGAGTTTGCAGATCGCAACAAAACGCTCTTTATAGTGTTTGAAGTTTATTACTGAGTAAAGCTGAATACGTTTAATAGATGTTATAGAAAACTCTTTTGATGCTGCGTTATAGTCCTGCTAATATTTAAGCAAGGGTCTGTAGATTATGGAATGCTTTTCAGGATTTTGCAATGTGGCAGTTGAACCTGACCAGTTAAAAAATGGCGATCTTCAACTTTTCTTGAAGTCTAGCCAGACTTCTACTCGATAAAAACGGAAACAGTTTCCCAAAAGATTAAAAAGTTTCATAGCTAGAGCATCTTTTCGGAACTTATGTGTTGAACACAACGAATGTGGTACAACTCTAGCCCCGTAGGATTCCAGATATCATTAGCCTTACATTGATCTTCAAAATACGTTAACACATATTCCCGGAAGTTGTGGATATTTCGGATGCGGTTGGCAATAATAACCTTTAGTGCACCGTCCTGCTAAATCGTACATTCCACCACAGCTATCGCCCGGTCCCTAGAGAATAGAATTAAAGTAATATTAAAATTATCCTAAAATTAAAGCCGAATATTTTCTTAGTCATCATTTTAAAATTTCTCTTAAAATTATTTATTGATTTATGATAAAATGCCTCATATTAAACAAAATATTGCACATAAAAAGTGACATAAAAACAAATTATTTTTCATAATACACAGAAATTAATCTATTCAAACAAAATTATTTTGTTCTGTGAAAAATTATATCTAGGAAAAGGACAAATCGATATCAGGTCATCGCCTAATTAACAGCGTTTTTCAAACAGGACTGCTTAAAATATATTCTAACACATTTAAATAAGTGTTTGTCGCGAATTTATAAAAACTCCTAAAATGAGAGGTAGAGGAAGTGTGTGATAAAAGTGCTTTGAATATTTGCAAGTGCAAAGGATGATTCTCTAAATTTTGACAATGTGACCATATCTTGAAAGATTTCAGTCGCTGTGGGCGTTCTGTATTTTTTTATAATGTTGTGTTGAAAGCTGCATTTGAAAGAAATTCATATGATATTGCTGAAGAGTTGTCAGAAGGCTTCATCATCATCGGCTGTCCATCGCCATTTGAAGGAATTTGGAATCACATCTAGTTGGAACCACGTGGGAACATTGGAACACATTTGGAAACCACATGGGTCCCACATAAAATTATTGACCCTAACCGAAAAGAACATGTCAGCAAGCATCGACCCTGCTTTTTTTCAGGTGAAAACATATTCTCTTCTTTTTTAAACCGTTTAGTGACTGGGCATGAAACGAGACTGCTGATTCGAAGCTTGCAAAATTTCATTGATAGAAAAGAACACAATTCTCATGAGGCACGAAAGAAACAAGACCTTCAAGACTTTTTTTCCTGCAATAAGTCGTATGCAGTTTATTAAATTAGTAGCCTATCGATTTGTTTATTTCTACAGAACCTGTTTCAAAAAACATTAGTTATAGGATAATTTGATGCCAACATCTAATGGGGGAAATTTAAAAGACAGTCATTATAATTTTCTTAGCCCAAAAGTAGTTATTAGACTCGAAAGGGGATTTTGCGTCGGTTCACTATAAAAGGTGCGTCACTTTTCAAAGTTTTACCATCAAATATTATAACCCTTTGTTATTTTTAAGGAAGCTGAATTATGGAGAATCTGCATATATGTATTTCTTCACATTCTGAGAAACTACGTGTACTAGAGCCATCAAATTTTGAATAATGCAGCCCCCACCCGAGCATGTGCCCCTCGAAGCCCGAATTTTGAATTTCGAATTTTTTTAATTATCTGTTTCATATTCTGTAACATTTAATGAGTTTCTGACTAACAAATTCAACGATTTCAAAGCCAGCAGTGGCGACACTGAACGGAATAAAAGACTTTTTATCTCCTGCGCACGAGACTGTATATCGGAAATTCTAAAGATATCCTGTTTTTAAATACTTTTGAATTTTGTTATTGAACTTCATTTTATGTGGCGTAAGTGCGAAGAACGTGATATTTAATAAATAAAGTTAGTTCTCAAAACGATAATAATAAAAGGACGAAAAAACGCAGGAAATTGAACATTGATATGAAGAACTAAACAGATTCAAAAAATAGAAAAAATATTACTCCAACACCTAACACTGCATCGGGAATTCTAAACATATGCTGCTTTACTACTTTTAAAATTTTGGAATTTTGTTTTTGAATTGTATATGGCATAAGTACTAAGAAAACGATGAGTAATAACAAAGCTAAAAAAAGTGTGAAAGCTTTCATATTTTACATTACGCCCAAAGGGGCGTTTTTTACCGTTTTGTGTGTTAACTTTACTTATTAAATATCATATTCTTCGCACTTCAACCATAAAATTCGATTCAACAGCAATATCACAAAATATTTAAAAGAGAATTTCCTATACACCTGTCTCTCGATTTTAAACAGATTTCTTTAAAATTTCCGATACACAGTCTCTCGTGCTGGAGATAATTTTTCCCCGTACAGTGTTGCCATTGCTCGAAATCGTTGAGTTTGTTAATCAAACATTCCTTAATTTTTGGTAAAATTTGAAATAGATAATAAAATTTTCCAAATTTGGGCTTCCAGATGCCCATATTCGAATTGAGGACTACATTATTCAAAATTTGATGTCTCTAGGTACCGCTGTTTTTTCACAGTGCAAGAAACATACATACCTTCATGCAGATTCTTGATTATTTAATTTCTTTAAATATAATGCAGGGCTTTAATATTTGGTGGCAACAATTTGAAAAGTGAACCCGCATTTATAGCGAGCCGACACAAAATAGCAAAAAGAAATTAATAGCCCTTCTGGGCAAATAACCACTTTGGCTTAAAAAAAAAAAAAAAAAAAAGTTTAAGCAGGAGTGAATGCTACACAGCAGACTGGAACACTGCGAGCTCAGCGAAAGAGTACAAAACCTTAACGAACCCTTTTGAACAACCGTTAAAATGCGAAACTTTTAAGATTTTTTTTTTTCTAAAATTTAATAATGTTTTGCATGTGTGTGTGATATTTGCACAAGATCTAATCGTGTAATGCAGCAAAAAATAATACTATTAAATAAAAGCGAAAACCACTGTTCAAAACGTTAGCGGAAGTCAAATTGCGTTCATTATATTTGCAATATTTGAAGCTGACTGTTAGCAGAAATTAAGGGAAACTCTCTACAGATAAAATGTATAATCCAGAGTTCAAATATGTCTTGAGCTTACGCCGCGATCTCCCATTTTGACCCGAAATAAATTCCTGTCGTGCCATAATCATATTATTTGCCAGCTTTCTCATCAATTGATCTCTCTATTCTCACTTACCGACAAGATTTTCTGGGGTCAATTTTCTAGCAAATTTAAGCTATCAAAAACGAAGAAATGTCCAATATGTGACAGATGTCTCGTAACACTTCTAAGAATATCAGAAGTACTGAAGCAACTATATGCACTCTGGTGAATGGTACTCTTATGGTAACTAGGCAACACTTCTTTATATTTCGAACCGAACTGCGTTATTAACATGTTTCGCCAACATTTTGAACACGGTACTTTTTAGAAAGAATTGTGGACTCGGATTGTGGACTGAGTACTTAATTATGGAGAATCATGTCAGAACTATCTGTCCAAGAAGGGATGCCTTTGTGAAAGATTTTTTCTAAATTAAGAGAAATTCAACTAAATATGACGAATTTTCGAATTTGCAACACAGGAAGGTCTCGTGAAGTTTTTGAAACCCCAGTGCTTGAATTAGAAGTCCGCCAGAGGTAGAGCACTCATAGCTCGTCGTCGTTTCCCGTTTTAACAGTCTGAATGTTTGGCCGTTTGGGGTTTTTTCCATGTATAGGGATCGAGTTTAATAAGAGTTAAATTTTCGTTATAAAATCTTTAGCAAAGGCATTCTTTCTTATATACTTTTCTTTCTTTCTTACGTTCTGCACGTAACTTCTGAGTGCTTTCCTTAGCTGCTGGTAGGCCACATGAGATAAAAACAATCTATTCACTTTGCATCTTATTTGATGCTTCCCCCCCTTAAAAAAGATGGAAAGAGAGAAAGAAGATGTAACCTTAAAATTGATATAGATGTAGATTGCTTATGGTTTGGAAATAATTATCTTACGGGTGTTGTGAAATCATCTTTAAGTTGCGCACCTGCGAGAGTATCACTGAGGAAGAAAAGGAACTGGGCAACTGGTTCATTACAGGAATTACGATTTACCTCGCTGTAAGTTACGTAAATATTCACTTCTATTTATTGATATTTATTTGTATTTTACTGGATATTTTTTTTAAAAGTTTTGTTACTTTGTATTTGTTTTGTAGTCTATTTTATAGGTTGTAGAGACATTAGAAATTTTTTGGAAACAGGCAAGATGACAAATTAGTAAACGCCTTCGCCGGGAATCGAACCACGAACCTCTAGAATACCGGCCTTGTGTGCAGACTTCCATTCCACGAAGGCGCAGTAAGGAAGGCGGGAGAAATACCTTATATAATCCCCCTTGGGGTTTTAGGAAACCCAATCGCCAAATCCTAGGTGCGGAGGATCATCATCCAACACCCTTTTTAGTTCGGACGCCTTCGCTGGGAATCGAACCACGTACCTCTGAAATACCGGCCGAATGTCCAGACCACCACACCACGAAGGCACGCTAGAAGGCAGAAGAAATACCTTATAAGGTATATTTGTATTATTACATTTTGTATGCTTAATTTCTTTATTATTTTGTAACTTTTGTAAGTGGCCTTTTTTTTTTTTTTTTTTTTTAAATTTAAATGGTCTGTAATATGCTGTCGCAATTTATAGCGATCAGAACTAAACATCTAAGTACACTTTCTGTTATAAGTTACAGTATATTTCTCGCTGTAAGTTATTCAAAAATAGTATAAATAACAGGTAATAAAACATGATTCAATCCATTCGAATATTTTAAAATTTTGCCAAATTTCAAATTTTTTCCATATTGAAAAGTTATTAAAGACATGCCACTTAAGCATACTCAGCTATTCAGTGTATCACACTATGGAATGATACACAAACACGTTATTATGTTTTATTCACTAGATAATCAAGTGGACAAAAGTCTGTATATAGAGAACGTGTACATACACAATCAAATTAATTTTGAAACTGATAGAATGTTTATCGATCTTAAGCTTACAGGAGTGATTGAAAATAATTGTGGAATACAAGTGGGAATAAAGCTTTACGTGCTGTTAAGCTTAACGATAAAATGCTCTCATGAATAATTCTAAATAAATAAAATGTTTAACCATTGCATTAACATGAATAACTTCACAAATCTGAAGGAAAAATATTTTGAATGTATTAGCTTAATAATAACGTGAATCAATAATGGAAATCCTTATTCTATACCAATAGATTAGAAACTGATACGTTTTCATCAGCAAATAGTAGAAAAGCAAATATAAATCTTACAAACTGAGAAAATAAGCAGAAAACTAAAATCTGGAGAACATTACTTTTGTATTTATTTTACATTAAATTTAAAACTGAAATTAAAGTTTAATCTTTACTTACTTTAGCACAGGTGTAACAACATCCGCAAACATCCGGAGCCAGTCCATAATCGCAATCGTCTGTCTCCGGGCATTCGTAATCATCGCATATTATATCGCTGCATAACACTTCTCGCTCATCATCTTCAAAATCATCGTCATTAGCTCTGCAGGTAGAAATATGAATTAATCCTGTTATTTGATACAGCACAATGCAAAATGGGAAATACAGCATAAGAATGAAGGTAAATAAGTTGTTAATTTGTTGTGAACGATTCCATAATTTCTAAATGAAAATTTACTAAGCTTGATATTAACCGTTAACTGGAACATATAACTGCATTTCAGATCAAAAACCGATTACCAAATTTAATTACTTTTATTTTTTAATTCGAGTCAATCAACCACCTAAATTTCAAACAACAACAATTCATTGAAAATTATGGTATGAATCTTAACACATTTTGCAATTTATTTGAAAATGTAAAAAGGAAAAAGGACTATTTTATAAGAGAATAAATATAATGAGTTACACTAAAAAACAAACAACCAAATACGGTATATTTTTCTTTAAAAAAATATAAAGATAATAAAAGACAAAATTATATTTTAGCCCAAATGAGCGTTAGCTCAGAAGGGCTGTTAGTCTCGAAACGGTATTTTGCGTCGAATCAATTTAAATATCATAATCATTTTCAAATTGTTGCCATCAAATATTATCGGTCTGTATTATATTTAAAGAAAGTAAATAATGAAGAATCTACATAAATGTATGTATGTTTCTCGCATTGTGAAAAAACAACGGTACCTAGAGTTATCAAATTCTGAATAATATAGTTCTCCATCATGGGCACCTGGAACCTCGAATTTGGGATTTCGAATTTGCTTAATTGTCTATTTCATATATTTTTAAAAAATTTTAATGAATTTTTATTAAGAAACTCAACAATTTCAAAGCGAGAAGTGGCAACATAGGAGGGAATAAAGCATTTTTATCTACAGAGCGCGAGACTATCTATCGGAAATATAAAGATATGCTATTTTAAAATACAATTTAACCCGACGTGGCGTTAGCCCAAATGCTCTCGAAACGTGTATGTATCTGTAAACGCAAATAATAATAATAATAATAATGCCCGTTTGGGCGTAATATAAAATCTGAAATATTTTAGATTTTTTTTTCAAATTTTATTCAGGTGTTAATGTAAATAAATAATTTTTAACCATACTTCAGCTATTGAATATTACCGTTTGGAAGGAAATGATTATTTGCCTAAAGAAAAAGTCAGAAACAATCAGCATCGTGGCATTTTTACCCCACCCACCGTGGGGTACTTGTTATAACTGTTTCAATAATTTTTAGTATTAATTATTTATTTTTAGGTGGTTATTTAAGCTGAAAATTATTAAGCTTATTTAAGCTGAAAAGCGAAATAGCTCATCCTAAAGCATAATGAGAATCAGAAGAACTAAGATAAAAAGTACCTTGTTCAAAAGATACAACCTGCCAATTTTAATCACTATATAATTCAGAAAGGTTTTAGAACAGTTACATTTGAGGAAAGTGATGAATACATTGCAACTACAATAGCTGCTCATCGAGCGCAGCAGCATTTAACACTACAGATACCAATCCTTCAAACTGATGTAATACTTTTCTTCTTGAGAGAAACGGATGCAAATTAATCATTGTTAGTTTTAGTGCTTACTAATAGCTATTTTCTGAAATATTTAAATTTATTCGTTGAAATAAATAGAAAATACATATCAAAGGTGGCAGAAAACATTGCAAGCTGCTGATGGTCAGATACATATTAATGGTGACACACATACCAATGGTGAGCTTTGAAAATTTTAACAAACGACTTGTACTTTTTTTTATAAAATTAAAATATCACTCTAAATATTTTACGTTGTACAAAAAACAGTAAATGTAAGTGATTATGTATGAAAATTAATAAATAGATAAATAACTTTAACATTAAAAAGTTTTTAAATCATAGAATAGCATAGAAATTGCATAAAGGCAACAAGTAAATTTTATTATGTGGCACAATTTATACCTGCCACATATTATTTTCTTCTTCTTTTGCCTCAGGCGGTCTTTTCGAGGTTTAAAGCAAAACAATCAATTCTCAAGAATGTTTTATGTAAGGTCCAGGATTAAATTCTCTTAGAGGTTTCCCATTTAAGGAAATTGACTTATTATACTTCTAAGATAGGCTTATTATGCCTTTTTCTGCATATTTATTACGTTTACAAAACTTTGTCACTTAGCACATTGACAACGTTTCGTAGACATAGTTTCGAATACTTGTACGCATGTAATACCTTTCACATTCAATATGTTATTTCTTCTCCTGACAGATTTGTTTGCATTTTACTGAACCTGAAATTTGCTTCTGCTACATGTTTTAAACTGTGTTCGGTAATTCCCAGACTGTCAAGTGGATGTGGTTCGCATTTTTTACTGATTCTAAGACTGCTTTTGGATACTTCGAAACGTCTTTCATCGGTGCTCCATAAGGAGTAAATAGTCTTCTTTTCTTATGCCTCTTGAAGTTTCTTCCTTGGAGAAAAACACTTTTGTTTAAACTTCAGAGTTACCAGCTTCAGGATGTTATTTGCTAAAGTGAGTAATGGCTTTCTAAGCAACGCACTTGAACAACATTTTATAAATTCCTAATAATTATTCCTATCTACTCTCTGCGAAAGTTTACTGTGTCCAACTAGATTTTAGCTCATAAATACTGCAGTGATAGAAACATGCCTTATGATGATTGAAAGATGTTTCTAATAGCAGGAATCACTCTAGTTAGCTGTTTAACAACTGGATCAAATGTCCAAAAATGCGAAAGCCTGGGAAAACCAGACTGAATGAATAAGAGGAAGCCTCGAGGTGCTGATCAACCCTAAGGCATTGATTGACTTTTCATACTTTCCCTAAACACTCAATTTTGCAGGCGCATTGGACTCAATTAATTAGCTGCACTAGTCTGTTATATACTTTCTGGAGACATTCATTCAGCACTTCCCTTGTGACTGTTTCGCAATGCAGTAGTGTCTAAGTTATAGCAAAGTCATTGCGATGCCGAGCCCAAGAATAGTTGCTGAAGTCATAATGACACACTGTAATTCTTAACACCAGAATCATAAAAAACAGCTGTCTGTCATCAGATTTTTATCCTCAAACAACAGCTGTGTAAATTTGAATGGCTTATTTAATGAAAGCATGTACCTAGTTACCTAAATGCAGATACCCATCTGTTCAAAGACATATATCCAACCGTATTCGTTAGTCCGCTATCCCTTGGTATTCGTTACCACGAACGCATTCGATTAACCCTTTCGCCGTCCTTTCTTGTCCGCAAAATTTCCCTTCAGCGGCCGTCTGTTTTCGGAGCGTGTAATGATGATTTCTCTGTACATCATAACTTTCCATGCATGACCTTTCGTAGTGGATGAATGACAATGAACATTAAGTAAAATTATAAGGAAATAAAGCATAATGGAAAAATAATAATATCTCTGCTTATTTCTAACAGCAGGATAATTTGATAACATCTGATCCAGGCAGTCCACCCCTCCCATTTTGTTGTTGTAATCTTTTACAATTATTGTTCTTTTTACAGTCCTTTTCCGTGTTCCAACATCAGTCATTGAGTTATTATGGACTCGATGATTGATGTTGGAACACGATGACTGTAGTCTTCAAACGTATATCCTTCTTGTCTTTCCAATTCATAACCTCATTTTTTCTCTTTTTCTGCTGAGTAGACGTTGAAGCCATCGCTCACTGTCTTGTATCTTATGTAAAATGTCGCGAATATTCATAAAACGCGGGAAAATTCAATTAGGAATAGAATGCCTGATTCAGTGCTACCCTCTAGGATGTATTAGAACAAACAAAAATAAAAACTCAAGGACATGTAAACATTTAGAAAGCGTTTTAAACATTTAAAAATTTTAAAATGTAGAAGAACGCTCGAAGCGCATTACGGCCGCCCCGTGGAAGTTTCACTTGAACGCGCTAGACGCGTTGCAGACGACAAAGAGGTTAAGCATAATATCACGTACCTTGTTCCATGAATTCTGCGTAAGGATTGTACAATATTACTGTATTGTAAATACTTGTCGCCTTTCCGTGCAATAACTAATACGAAACCAGTCATTTCCTGCCTTCGAATTTCGTTTGTTGTTGTTGTCATGTTCATATTATATGGAATAATGGTTGCCACAGCCTACTCCAAAGAGAGGTTGGACTTCTATTTTTTACGCCTAGTTTTGAGAGGGGGCACCCCGGGGGGATCCGGGGGTTTCCCACCCCTCTGCACTCCCACCAATCCACACAAGAGGACTTTCGGCTTGCCGCATATTTAGGGTGCTGTCATGCCGCACCAGCACTATACATTTAAAAGCATCCATGTCTTCTCCTGGACTCGAACCCGGGCCCTTCGGTACCGTAGTAAGCTCCTCTAACAACTATACCAGAGGTTCGAATCCCGCGAACGGGCTGGCTGCATAGGTGTTTTCGTGGTTTTCCCCATGTGTAACGTGTATACGAGCCAGTTTCCATTATAAAGTCCTCCACGAAGGTATTCCTCCCCTTAGGCAGATAGCCCTAGTGTGCTTTGCCATAATTAAATACACCACACCACCTAACAACTATACCGTCTGGGCGACTTGAATTCTTTTGATATTAATGAAAGAGTCTTTGCTCAGAAAGCTAAAAATCTCAGAAAGCTAAATTTTGGTAGTCTAGAAAGCAGCTGATAATCATTTCTTTGTTTGATATATTCACTGATATCTTAAATCTAATGCTCACAATATCAGGACTTGTGTTCCTCTTGACTTGCTTTGGAAACATGAACTGTCCTGACTCGGAACAGGGAACTTACTCAAGCTATGTTCAATAAATTGTGAAGTAGACAATACACATAGGAAGGGTATACGAAACCCTTTATTTTTTCTATCTTTACAGATCTTCCGGAACTTCGGAATACAGACCCAACCACTTGTGGTCTGAACGTAAGAATATAAAACTATAACTAAAACCTAACTAAAACTAACTTTGAATAGTATACAAGTGCCTAGCATTAAGATTGGCCGTTATTTAACAAAAGCCGTATGTAGAACGCTGAACTGCTAACACTACGATACGTTTTGAAATTATCAAGAGGATTAAACCTCTGGCCTTGAGGGCAACCAGCAACCGAGTGAAAACTCGTAAAACTACTATGGCAAGCGGCTTGCTTCCAATAACTCCTTCCTCTCTCTTGCTTGGCAAAAAACCACAACTTAAGTACTTGGCGTTAGCAAGACAAATTTGCATAAATAAGTTAAAGCTTTTAATTCTGGCCGGAAGTAGAAAATAAGAAGTGATAGTAAAGATTTAAAATAAAATAAACGTTAGTAAAACTTAGGATCCTTACAATAGTTGTTTTCCTTTCTTCAAATGAATATCGGTCTGGTAATGGCTGCCTTGCAAAAACATTACAGACAATTATTTCTAAAAATTTTAATACTTAGCAAATTTGAACTTAAAAACTGACATCACAAAATGTTTTCATTTCTCTATAGATACAAACCAGGAATGAGAATAAGAGTTTCTTTTGAATTATTTTATAAAGATTACTATTTCCTAATAAATGTTGTTATAAATTTAAGACTACAAATTATTGAATTAAGTAACTAAATATAAAGTTTATCAAGTAAACAAATGTAATGAGTTAAAATTGTCTTCCATAACTAGGCTAATCAATTAATTTAGCTGATTATGTCAAATTCGTTAATATATTGAATATAACGAAAGATTTACTACAAAATATTAATAACAATCATTTACATTTATCAGTTTTCAAATAAAAATGTAGATGCTTAACAACATTAAATTGCTTAAGAATACTTCAAAATCTATACGTAGAAAAAATGAAAAGTAGTATTTTTAGGTGAATAATAACAAATTTGTTCATAAATTTACATTCTCAAAATAAAGTTTGAAAAAGAAAAAAAAAATTTATTTGTAGGAAATATGTGAATTAATCAGCTGCGTTTCTACATTTGTTGCATGATAAAAACTTTTAGACTAATGTTACAAAGTTTTATCTTGCAATAAAATAAATTTCTTACTCTGAGCAAAATAAACAATATATCGCTGAAACTCAAATTTCGTTGAAAAACTAGATTAAAGTAAAAATAAACTGTCGAGAGTTTTCCCAATATTCTTTCTGTGCGCTAAACATTGAAAACAGTATTTCTAAGTGTATGTGTGCGTGATTATGGCAAAGCCTCGAGGGCTATCTGCCTACGGGGAGGGAAGCCTTCGTGGTGGACTTTCTAAGGGAAACTGACTCGTATACACGTTACACATGGGGAAAACCACGAAAACGCCCTCAGTATTTTTAAGAACAACGTTCTTAGTCAACTAATACTATCGAAAATTAGATTTAAGTTAAAATTAAATTTCAAGTTTTACTTTCAATTTAAAATACCTAATCACTGTAGTAATAAAACTGAAAAAGTGTGTAGGTAGTATCAAGTGCTAGATAATTTTATGCAATAAACTGACTAATTCATTATTTTAATGAACTGCTGTACTGCAATGAAATCGATAACTTACTTTCTTTTCAACAGAATATTTTTCTACAACTGTATACTTTTTCTGCCATTTAATATGTATGTTAGCTTTTCTGTAAGAGCTAATGTTATTTCAAATTTCGTCGAGATTAAATTTCCTACGTGAAATATTAACTGTAGACTGAAAATGGTTAAAAAATTTGAAAAAATTTATCAATAATATTATGCATCAAATTTTATTTCAGTATATTAATCTAAAATTTGAATATATTTTTTCTTTCATATTAACTTATGTTTATTTCTATTTCATTTAAACTACATTTGCCAGACTAAAAGAGGAAACAAAATCAGATAAAGCACATTAAACAGAGAACTAACTTTTTAATTTTTTTAAATAAAATAGTTTACCGAGTTTGAGAAACTGAATGGGACTTACAGTGAAGATGATAGCAGCCCAAGCATTATAAATAATTCGAAAACTCGTAGAAGTATCATATTCATCTGTAAATAAAAAATGAAAGACTAAAATAAGAATATATCCACAAACAAACTTTAGAATACATTGACTAATCCTTTCAAATGCAATCGTTCATCATATATGAATAAAATATTCTTACACTTCATACTTCCAACCTTGGACCCGCATGTTTCCTAAAAATGACCCTCATGACTTTCATGTAATTACTAAGCCCGTTGAAGTTGAAAGAGCATATATTTTCCTTCAGCAGCTTTTTATGTGTAACTGACACCTGTTGTTATGTTCTGATATATTACTTCACCAGTCTGTATTCCGTACAGCTTAGAAGTTACTTTAACACAGTAGACTTGTCTGGTTCTTTTATTTATTAACCGAAATGGGCGTTAGCCCAGAAGGGCTATTAGTCTCAAAATGGCATTTTGCGTTGAATCACTCAAAGCGCTAAATCACTTTTCAAATTATTGCTACCAAATATTATCACTCTATATTATATTTAAAGAAACTAAAGAATATACATGAAATGCATGTATGTTTTCTCGCATTGTGAAAAACCAATGGTACAAAATTTTGAATAATATAGTCCTCCATATGGGCACCTAGAACCTCGAATTTGGGATTTGGAATTTGTTTTATTGTCTATTTCATATATATTTTTTAAAATTGTAACGAATTTTTAATTAAGAAACTCAACAATTTCAAAGCGAGCAGTGACAATACATAAAACATTTTTTTCTCCAGCGCGAGAGTTTGCCTATCGGTAATACTAAAGATAACTAAACTAAATGTTTTTAAATACTTTTAGCACAATGTTGTGTTAGCCCAAATGCTCTAGAAATGTATATCTGTCTGTAAATGAAAAAACAACAACAACGCCCGTTTGGGCATAATATAAAATGTGAAGGCTTTCAGATTTTTTTTTTTTTTTTTTTTTTTTTACTTCATTTTGCTTTTAATACCAGTTTATGCAAATACTTTAACCAAGATGAACTCAATATCTTAACACTTGAACGATTAGCCTTCTCAATAGGACTGTTTCCAGTGTCATTTCGACGTTATTTAAAATCGAAAAAAATTTTTTAAATTTTCAAAATGAGATAGTTATTTTTTATTTTAGCTAAAATTATCCTTATATCGTAATATTTCTATTAGATATTATTTGTTATGATATTATTTTGCTTTAAAGAAAATATGTTGAAACGTTAAATTTAACTTGCAGAATAGGAAATTCACAAAGCAAAATAACTTTTTTACTCATTATGACAACATAATGTTAAAAAACGATCTTAAAATTAATTTAAAAACATAAACATATGCATCTTATACTTGCAGTTATACATTTACAGGCCTTTTGATGCATTTTTCGTCTTGTCATTTTTTGGCACAAAAAGTTGCAGCGTTCCCATGATAATTTTTAATTTTACGCGTGCTTTAGATATCAGTTTTTATGATCATACCATTTTGATTATTTACATAATTTCAAACTTATTCATTTAATAATTGCTGCATGTAGTTTTTTGCATGAAATATATTTACCTGATTCGTGTATGTAAATCATTCAAAAACTTATAGCTGTAACCTGTAAGATGTTACAAAAGGTGCGGCTGAAAAATATGTTCATGCGATTATCGCAAAATCCATTCAGTTAACGATAGAAGATTTGAATCTTCAAACTCCACGAATCTTCAAGCCCCATGAAGATTTGAGTTTCGAAAACTCAAATTTTAGCCCTCTATTCGCCATTCCAGTGTTTTAAATCCTCATTTATAAACTAATAAATAGTTTAACTGTTGGAAATATAAACTTTATTGGTGGCCCGGAGAAGCGTTCATAAACTAGAAACACTTCTGTTGCAATTCAGTAACTCGGAATCACTAGTATCGAATAGTGGCGTCCTTAAATGCTGTATTCTTAATTTTCTGAACAGAATTTAATATTTCGTATTTAAAGTTTACAAGTATTTATACTGATTCTTAGAATAATCTTCTATAACTTTTTACCTCAAATGGGCGTTAGCCCAGAAGGGCTATTAGTCTCAAAACCGCATTTTGCATTGAATTACTGAGAAAATCTGAATCCCTTTTCAAATTGTTGCCACCCAATATAATCGCCCTGTATTATATTTAAAGAAATTAAATAATGAAGAATCTGTAAGAATTTATGTATGTTTCTCGCATTGTGAAAAAACGACGATAACTAGAGCCATCAAATTTTGAATAACATAATCCTCCACCCGAACATGGGCACATGGAAGCCCGAATTTTGAATTTCGAATTTGTTTTATTATCTATTTCACATTTTGTAAAACTTTAACGAATTTTTAATTAACAAACTCAACGGTTTCAAAGCGAGCAAAGGCAACATATTGTGGAATAAAAAATATTTTTATCTCCAGCGCGCGAGATTGTTTTTATCGAAAATTCTAAAGATACGCTGTTTTTAAATATTATGTGATATTGCTGTTGAGTTGGATTTTATTTGGTTTAAGTTCGAAGAACATGATATTTAATAAATAAAGGTAGCACACAAAACATTAAAAAGACGCTGCTTTGGGCGTAATATAAAATCTGAAAGCTTTCGAATGTTTTTATTATTTTATTTAAAATTGACTACTGGGAACTACAAAAAAAAAAAAAAAAATGTGAACTGCCACTCATATATTTTTGCCGCGTTAATTCTTAGATAATAAAACTCAAGATTCTAAAATTTGATTTTGTATTTCGCTTACTATATTTATCCTTTTTTTAAAAAATGCATGTGTATTTTTAAAATCTGCATGCTTAATTTTTTTCCATTAAGCGCAGATTTCAAACTTTGGTTTATTTAAAAATTTTAATGAGAAGAAAGTTTTTATCTTCCTTTTTTTCGCATTATTAATTTCATTTAAAGAACTTTAGAGACTGGAAGTTTAGGAACTGACAGAGGTGAACGTTTTAGGATTTAAATTCGGATGGGTGAAAATTTACGATTCGCCTTTCTTCTATTTTCTATTCGCTTCATGGATATGTCTCTGCAGCATTTAATTTTATATTACTCTTTCAAAAGTTTCACTTTAATTGCGATCTTTTATTTTAGTGTTTGTATGGGAGACATCCGTTTTTCTGCTTCGTTATGCGATATACTGCTAAACGTGGATGAGAGTATTTTCACTCTCATACTCATTTAGGAAATAAAGAATGTCCATCAAGCTTTTTAAATTCTCTAGTACTTTTCTTCGAGTGCCACTCAGATCTTCTACAGGAGTTGTTTAATATTTATCAGTTTTTTCACTAACATTTAAGATGTGAAGAAATTATCAGTTATCACATCGGTTCCTTCTAAACTCTACGTATCCCACTAATTTTCACCAATCACGTTTTGATTTATTTTTCTATATAAGCAGAAACAATCAAAATCAGTTTAGTTTTTAAATTAGCATCGATGCGAAATTTTTGACAGAGGTGAACTAGAGTTGGTGTTATAGATGGAAAATGGGCATCATATTTTACTGCAGAATAACTGCATAATGCGGCGACTTCTCACTTCAAATACATACAAATATTAACAGGAAAGAATCATTTATGCAGCGAGAGATGAAAAGGAATTATCATCATCAATATAACATCAATACCCTTAAAAATGAATGTTTAAGTTTAGTTTGAAATTTAGGATATTTATCTATCTAAACTAATTTAAAAAAGACTCTTTTGGAAGCCTTCATTTATATCGAAATAATCCCTGTGGATATCGTATTACTTTTGGAAGACTGCCGGGTGTCGAAATAAAACCATCTAATATTCAACCACTTTAGAAAGACAATACTGAAACAACAGCAGGGAATATTCTAAGTGAAACTGGCTGTAAGAGTGACTCCAGCGAACACTGCCATGCATGTTCATTTGTACCATCTTAAAAGAAGAAACATTTTCTTTAAATTTAATATTCTTACTGCAAAGTATTTAGTGTAAGAAAAAAAGTAAAAGGAAAGATTGAAATAAAAAAGAAGATTAAAAAAAGAATTTATTTCCGTCGGTTGATTAGATAACAAAAATTTACTATTTTTTCACTATGGTGCATCATGGAGCCATGCCAAGTGTAAGGCAAATGAAACACTTGCCTAGATAAAATATCAGACAGGCGTAAGATAATAATACGTTATATATTCATTGGATAAGTAATAAAAGATATTTAGAGGGTCAATTATGAAGTCTGCCCAGGTTATTATATACGTCGGCATTGTTCTGGTATATCATATCTTTGGTGAATGTAGTTTATAAATGAACGTTTTGTTGTAAAATTGATTATAAAAATTGCATTACAAAACTAAAATCAAAGGAAAAAATATAAACTCGAATATTTTTTCTATTTGAAACTTATAAAAATATTTATTGAAATTATAGATTGGCTGAAGTATGTGAAATGACAAAACGTTTCGGATCATGGCTTGATAGGTCAGTATATTTATACAAAAAATCGTCTATTATGATTTCGCTGCTGTTTTCTATTGCATGGTTGTTTTCGTGATTTTCGTCCATGTGTATCATGAATATGAATGAAGCTGTTCCCTTAGAAAGTATTCCACGAAAATATCCACCTTAAGCAGTCTCAGTCTTAGTGTATTTTCCATAGTCAATCAATGCTAATGATGAACCGAATAAAAGACGTCCGTCCATCAAGTCTGTTGTTTACTATATAAATGATCTTGGAACATACGTTCTCTAAATTCAGCCGCCCAGGCAGCACAGTGGCTAGGAAAGCCTACTGCGGTATCGAAAGGCACGGGTTCGAATCCCGGAGATGGCATGGAGGTTTGTAAATTTATAGTGTCCGTGCGGCATGGGGGCTTTTCAGATATGCGGCAAGCAGAAAGTCCTCTCGAGAGGTGATGGTAGGGGGAGAGGGACTCGACCCCTCCCGCGATGCTCTCCATCAAAATTGGGGATGGAACCTATCAAAGTCGTTATTTCACCTGTATTGTGCTCCAAGACCATGGAAGTTAGAATACCATGGAGGCTATTCTAACTTCCATGCTGAAGACTATTGCCAATACAGGCGCAATCTTGCATTCCTTGCCACAATGAATTAATGAATTTCGGGGGTTTGTTCTGATGTTACTATTAGACAAGTGAGATAAGTCACAACATACACAACAACACTTTTCAAACAGCTGAAACTAAGAAAGGCCATACAGAGACAGCCAAAAGCGGCCAAGGACTTTAAACTTCTATTACACGAACTTGACAGCATGACTCTGTTATGCACTAGGGTGACTCCTTTACGGGAGCTATCAAGACATTTCACATTAATTGCACTATGGACTATGTAAGAGAAATGGCTAAGATTTATATTAAACATCGGCAAAATTTAAAAAAAAAAAAATTGTATGCACTCAGGCTGTAACCTAGATTTGAATTTGGGTTGAAGTATTCAGGGGCTGAACACATCAATACACGACCTCTAGCAGATTGATTCATTTATTACGATTATCAGTACTCGTACCACACATTGCAACACGATTCTAAGTGTGAAGAATATTTACTAATTACATAGTCAAATAATCAAATCATAGGCTCACCCTGGACTGCTGCACGTAATATAAGCGTTAACAGGACTCGTATTAAGTGCAGCCTTTTTGATCCTGCCTTGTAGTACTTTATACAAAGTCGTTTCTATGTACAGATAACTGATGCCGTATTTCAGTTACTGGTCGCAGAAACTTAGTAATATAGAAAGGATTTTAGAAATAATAAATAACTTTTTTACACATATTTGAGGTTATAAATAGTTCAATGTTGAGTTTTCTTATAAGTTAAAAATTCACTTGCAGAGGAAAAAGATTTCACATAACACCTAAAATATACTAATGATATCTATTATATACTTTCATACGGCAATGATACAACTTGCAAAATGCAAAATAAGTTTTAAAATGCAACAAGAAATCATAACTAGTATCCATAGTCAAAGAATTATTACTTAAAAAAGTTAAGAATAATACTTTACCGAGTAATACCCTTGGGTTTTTCCTACCTGTTGCCCAAAATAAATCGAGCTGTTTGAGACGTGGTTCCATATTTGTTAAGCATCGGCTTATATTTAAGATTCTAATAAGACTTCCTGGAAATCGTTCCCATAATCAACTTCCGATTTCCGCTGTCATAAGTATACTGACATTTCCATTCATACGTATTTCAGCTCTTTCAAATGCGTCGTATTTCACTGCTGTGACGCAGCCAGTTTTTTACAAGCGGCATTTAGAGTATAAATCAAATTCGTTTAAGTAAATGCAAATTATCTGCAATCTTTTCGCTTAAATTTCATTCAGACACTAGTAGAGGAACAGAAAATGGAAAGTTTAAAGTAATTTATCGTGACAGTGATAGTAAAATAATGCATAATCATGTTTATTCAAACTAGCCGCAGGGAAGTCAGGTTTATTGTCATGTAAATGGTAATGAAATTAGTTAACTTTTGCGCACGTCATTTTGGATATAATGTAGCATTTTGCATAATAAGTTTCCAAATTTAAGCTTGAAACATTTTATTTCTCTTTAAATCACGCAAAAGAAATTGTAAACATCTATTACATTATCTAAAAAGTTATTAAGTATTACAAATATAAAAAATTATTAATTTTTGACAATTACATATCATCTAAAAAAAGAAGATGAGTGAAATATTTTTTTAAACTAATGTCTCACAGGAAATTGAAATCGCCTTGGAAAGAGAGAATTTACTTTCGAAGGATTGGTGTGCTGAGAATACGGCAAAGCACACTAGGGCTATCTGCCTAAGGGGAGGGATGCCTTTCGTGGAGGACTTTCTAAGGGAAACTGGCTCGTGTACACGTTACACATGGGGAAAACCACGAAAACGCCCATGCAGCCAGCCCGTTCGCGGGACTCGAACCTCGGACCGAAGTACCAGTGTTCAGCGATTTTACCGCTCGGCCGCTGGTGGGCCCACTTTCGAAGGAGGAAAAGTCCCAATGTCATGGGGTGATCCTATCATCAGTTGTCTTTCGTGCCTTTATTTTACTGTCGCAGAAATAAACTCGAAGATTCGCATTGATTTACTGGAAACAAAATTGTTGAAATATTTTTTCATAACACATGAATTTTACTCGAACTGTGTATATTTTACTGCTTACTTTTAAAAATAAAAACCCTAAAAATAAAGGAACTATATTTTTAGCGGAAATATTCTTTCTGTAATGGAAAAAAAAAAAAAAAAGGGGGGGGCGGTCTATCTATCCCATCTGGGCGGAACATGGAGGTAGGAAGTAAGAAGGAGTCGCCCTAAACAAGTTTCTCCCTACCCTGCTCTGAAGCACCGGCGATCCCTACGTGGTGACCAAAACATTGGGTCATTTACCATTGAGTTCTATGGGATTTGACGCGTTCGGGTGTAAATATTTTGTAACTACGTCGCAAATATACATATAAATGTATATATTTTCTTTTTCTACAACACTTCAGAGTCCTAAGTATGTGAAAACAACATATTTTTAAACAACATTTCATTCCCGAACGGAATTAAATGCTTACTTTTCACAGGACAGTTTTCTCAGAATGGTTTAATTTCATGAATATTTTCATAAGTTTTCGTTAATTACATTAAAAAAAAAAATTAAGGTAATTCGATTTTATTTTCGGTTAAGGTACAAAAATTAAGATCAAAGTTTATCGCATTATTAATATTAAAATTATGCATTATTTCTTTTTCTACTTATAGAGCTTCTTCCTAAAATACTTTCTAAATATGACATGATTTTTTGGCTTCTGAGGCATCTTTAAATCGAAAAATGGTAAGTCAATTTATAATTAATGCTCTATTTGGTTCATTTTAAATTAGAGAATTATTACGAATTAGCGAAATACTTTAAATAAATATTTCGCTAATTCGTAATAATTAAATGGTATTAAATAGTACTTGACTTTCTCTGAAACATTTCTGAAAGGGAATAAATAGTTTTTTTTTTTTTTTTTTTTTTTTTTTTTTTTAAGTATTATTAAAACTTGTAACCGAGTTATTAAAATGTAGGGAAATAATTCTTTTTAATTATACTTATCAGATTTTTTTTTTATCCTTCATTTCAACAATACATATTTCCCAAACTCTTTATTACGTTCTTAGTGCGCATCTCATAGCATTTGCTTTACAATACCTTTTTAACAGATTGCTTTCCAATATGAACAATTCTTGCTTAAATAGTTTTTAATAACGTATTTGTCAACAGGATTTCAATTTATGTTTACAATTCAATATTAGGTTATTATATATTTAGATAACATTTATAATCATTATAAATTAGATAAATTTAATCATTAGATTTCTTCACAGTACTTTCACAGTTGTTTATAAGAGAATAAATTCGTCATTTCAAATATATTTATAAATAATTTAATGAATATTTATAAGTATTTTGACAAAGGCAGATACATGCTTTTTGCAGCACATGCATAAATACCCTACATATTTCCTATTTATCATTTCCGGCATTTGCAAATCTTTAATTTTCTGTGCATTCACTATATTTTCGTGTAAAGTAATTTACACTAATTTAGCATACACCCGAAAGTTTTACATAAAAAAAATATATAATATGAAAATATTTAATTTGAATGAAAATTATAAGTATTATTTTTAATACCCACTCAAAGGTCAGTTTTTTCTTCAAAATTCCCCCACGACGATGGCATCTCTCTTTTTAGGCAGATAGCCAGCCCTTGCATGCGTTACTCTATTTAATAAAAACTTAATCTGACCTATGTGCCTAATTACAATATTTTAACATACATAATTTTATATTTACATTTAGCCATCAAGTTTCAACTTTTCAAATCTTCTAGAAAATAATTTTGGCAGATCTCTTTTAGCAATTTCTTAAAATCTATATTTTTGTAGTGCAACAGCTTAGAATTTTATAAAACAAATTCATAATCAAAATCGCTGTGTTAGTTTATCGAAAAATAACCAAGATGTGATTTTTGCGTAAATGTCAGTAAACTATACAAATTGCTATTATCCATCACACTATGAATGTTTCTTTCATGCGAGAGTGTCCCTTTTTCGATTCTATGGGAACTGTCGTGTGTCGAAATTACTATCAGAATTTTGTCAAGCGAGCTTCTGAATGTAAACAAAAAACACCCCGTCTGGTGACCCAAGCTTCAAAGCAGTGTTTCACTTCTAGCGCGGAATGGCCCCTCCTCCCTTTCCTACCTCCATGGGGCGGAATCTCCACTTATTCACGTAACGCGACATTTTTCAATATTGTGATCTTTTATGCAAGAATTATTTTTGTTCTTTTTTATTTAAATAAATTTGTCCTCCTCGCCACTTGAATTATGTTTAATAATGCAGATTTTAGTCCAAAAAATTTAATAATTATTTTATTAAAATGTAATTTTTATAATTAATGAAGTAACTGTAATAATCGTTTCTTATCGTATAATCATTATAAATAATTATTAGGAAATTTCTTTTCTTCAGTGTATATTCATGTACACTACGAAAAAAAAAAAAAAAATGGGACAGTTCTATATCTTCCGTTCTATTGGGCCAATTGACGAGATTGAAATTGCGTTTTTTCATGTCTCGAAAGCGAGACTTAGGATATATATTAGATTTATATATAGCATCATTCTAACATAGGTATCTTGACCCAAAATCGGACTCTTTCTGAAATGACATGCTATTTTTTTTCATATTTCGATTTTACCACTCAAATTATGCTTAAATATTAAATTTTGTAAAATTTGGTCAGAAATTCAAAAATTTATCTTGGCGTATTTTTTTAGTTTTCGCCAAGAATAATTTACTCAGCGAACTTCTTAATTTATAGCAACCTATTTTCCTTTTCTTTTCCTTGTAACGAGCGGAAAAAAGGGATCGTTCATACTTTCAAATAATTTTAACAAAGTGCGTATACCACCTTTGGCATTATTATCGCTCAAAAAACAGATGCCAAATTTCAAAACGCTCCAATGCGTAAATTCGTGTATATCTTAGAAAATTTTGAATAAAATACTCTAATTTTTTGCAGGTGTGCCTAGAAATACATCTACCTTAAGACGATGTTAAAAATTTTATAGGTTATAACACAAAAACGTTTTCGAAAAATTTATAAAAAATATTTACAAATACAAATTTAAAAAATAAATCATAAAAAATGTGCGAATTTATTTGGATTAAGCCTAAATTTCGAATTCTGGAAAAAGGAATCAAGTAAGTTTAATAAAAAGTGATATTAATAAATATACATCAAATTCAATTAACACTGAGGAGCTAAAACTTTGAGAGCTAATTTTTTAAAAACTACTCGTGCGTTTTTACAAAACATAGCACTTCGGCATCATTCGAATCATAAAATCGAAATATGGAAAAAATTTGGCGTGTCATTTCAGAAAAAATCCGATTTTGTGTCAAAATACCTACAAGAATGCGAAGCGGAAAGCAGACGTCTTGCAGCTGTTGATCTGAACCAGGGGTTGATTAAAAATTGCAATTACCAACCATCTTATATTCACACTTAATTTTTTTTTGCAGTGTATAATGCTAACTATACAGACACCTAATGATGAAAACCTTCCTAACGTAAATAATTACGGAACCTAAACATATATCAGAAGTAAGCAGTGAGATAGGTTTAATATGAATTTCATTGATAGCGGGAAAGGAACAGAATGTTGTAAACCTAAGATAGTGACGTCTACGCAAGATTACACTGTGGCAATATTCTAATATAAACTTTTTGGATGCGGACCCTGTAGGGTCCCTTTTCGAAATGTTTAATAGACAGTAATATCTTTTCCGTTTTTAAGGTCAAGCGTACGAACATATTCAAGATAAGAATAAAAATTATAAATTTATATGAATTACACGCATACGAACAAACGCGCACTCTTCTTTACATATATTTATTACAAAATTTTGAGAGCTAATTTTTAAAAACTAGTCGCGCGATTTTTACAAAACTTGGCGGTTTGGCATAATTTGAGACGTAGAATCGAAATATGGAAAGAAATTGGCATTTCATTTCAGAAAAAGTCCGATTTTGTGTCAAAATACCTATATTAG